GCGCGCGCGCGCGCGCCGGGGGCGGGGGGGTGGGGGTGCGTGCATGCGCGGTGCGAGCGGAGGGCGCGCCTGTGCCCGGGGAGCGCGGAGGAGGAGGAGGCGGGGGCGAAAGCGAGGGGGGAGCGGGGGCCGCGGCGCGCCGGCCCCTATCGCCCTCCTCCCCCACCTCTGGGGGGCGCGCACCGCGGGGGCGCGCGGGGCTCAGCCGTTCCCGCCCCGCCGCGGGCACCCGCCCCGCCGCGCCTGCGCCAGCCGCGTGTGCGAGCCCGGGGCGCGGCCATCGCCTCCCTGCCCCGGCAGGCGGCGCACGGCCGCGAGCGCGGCGCGGGCTCGGCCCCGAGCCGGGAGCAGCGGGAGCGGCGCGGCCGGTGGGCGGCGCTCGGGGGCGCGCCCGCGCGTCACCGCGGAGGGGCGGCGGGAGCGGGAGAAGCTGCGGGAGCTGGAAGTAGAGGGACTAGCTGGAAGTAGATGAACTTCAAGGTCACTTCCCACCCAAACCATTCTATGATTCTGTGAAATCTTTTAAGTATTTCTGAATCCTGTACAAGAATTCTCTCCAGTGTGGAAGGAGCTTCCCTTTTACAGTTTCACAACGTGCTAATTCTTTCTTCAACAGTGCCTAAAACACTCCTGCAATAAACTTCTTACTCCTGAGAGACATGTAGCTGCTGTTCTATCACACTGAGCAGCAAATCGCACCATTTCGTTACACTCTCTCTTCCTGCTCTATCTGTACAGTGCCTGGTGCAGTGTGGACATGCCTAATTTCTAGGGCCGGGTTCTGCTGTAATGTAAGTAATCAGAATTAAACTACTAGTGGAAAAAAAAAAAATAGGATCTTATGAAAGGTATGGCTATCCATTTTTTATCACTGCTTTTCCTGTGTCATAGGCTACTGCTGAATGTGTATTTTTGCCTGTTTCAAATTGTACCATTAGTAGCTCCCACTGAGATACTGTAGTAGAGGAAGCCTATGTTCGATATCCAGACTAGGTAACTATGCACTGTGGAGAAGAAAAAATTAAGCATTGTTACTGTCTAACTGTGTGTGGTGTGTTGAGCCTGGCTGGATCTCTGGTGCCCACCAAAGCTGCTCTATCACTCCCCTCCTCAGCTGGACAGGGGAGAGAAAATATATTGAAAGGCCCATAGGCCTAGACAAGGGCAGGGAGAGATCACTCACTAATTATTGTCACAGGCAAAACAGACTCAACTTCGGGAAATTATTTTAATTTATTATAAATCAAGTCAGAGCAGGGTAATAAGAAATAAAAGCTAAACCTTAAAACGGCTTTCTCACACCCCTCCCTTCTTCACGGGCTTAACTTCACTCCCAAAGTCTCTTTCTTCTGCTCCCTGCCAGCAGCACAGGGGGGTGGGGGATGGGGGCTTTGGTCAGTTCCTCACACATTGTCCTGCTGCTCCTTCCTCCTCAGGGATAGGACTCCTCACACTCTTCCCATGCTCCAGCATGGGATCCCTCCCACAGGAGACAGCCCTCCATGAACTTCTTCAACACGATTCCTTTCCACAGTCTGAGTTCTTTGCAAAGTGTTCCAATGTGGTACCCTTCCACGGGGGGCAGTCCTTCAGGCACAGACAGCTCCAGTATGGGTCCTCCACAGGGTCACAAGTCCTACCAGCAAACCTGCTCCAACATGGGCTCCTCTATCCATGGCCCCACAACTCCTGCCAAGAGCCTGCTTCAGCATAGTTTTCCCACAGGGTCACAGCCTCCCTTGGGCTTCCACCTGCTGTAGTGTGGGACTCTCCATGGGCTGCAAGTGGATGTCTGCTCCACTGTAGACCTCCATGGGCTGCAGGGGGACAGCCTGACTCACCATGGTCTGCACCATGGGCTACAGGGGAATCTCAGCTCCGGTGACAGGAGGACCTTCTTCCCCTCCTTCTTCACTGACCTTGGTGCTTCTTTCCACATATTCTTTCCACATATTCTTTCCACAGGGCTGCTTCTTTCACATATTCTTCCTCCTATCTCTTCTGTTTCACAGTTCCCCCTCCCTCCTTAATTACATTATTCCCAGAGGCACTACCACCGTTGCTGATGGGCTCAGCCTTGGCCAGCACTGGGTCTGTCTTGCAGTTTCCTGGCATTGGCTCTGTCAGATACAGGGGAAGCTTCTAGCAGCTTCTCACAGAAGCCACCCTTATGTCCCCTCCAGCATCAAAATCTCACCACACAAACCCAATGCACTGTGTCATATTTTTCATTACATATGAATGTTGCACTAGGTTTTAGAAATAAAAAAACAAAAAGCAAAGATCACAGAAATTCTGGCTAAAGAGACCTGGGCTTGAAAATATGTACTATTGATGGTAAAGCATAAGAATAAAAA